CATTTTATAGTGTGTTACAAAACACTTTGGTTGCCCAAAATCTGCAACAAGCGAATAGGATCGCATTTACTAATACTTGGTGGCGCGCGTACGTTAAGTGGTCAATTGATTGACAAATTCGGCACTATAAACGTCGGAGGTAACCAAGTTTATAAAGATGCCATGAGTTCGAAATTTTCTTCGGACATAACATCCGAGACAATATCGAAATTGGAAAACGACCGTAGCCACTTTGAAATGCAGTGGAAAGAATTAAATGAAAAGATTAGATCTTTAGAACCACGATTTCAAGAGAAAAAGAATGGAATCTCTAAATTAGAGTTTGAGCTATCGAAGTTAGAGATGGGTGCGAGTGCTTGCGCAAACCGTATTCTCTATACTGAAAAAAGAGTAACCGAGTTACGGTATGCATAACTGTATAATAAATTCTTGTTAAGGGTTAATAGTAATCATTTTTTTATTTTTTATTCTATAAGGCAAAAAAATAATCCAAGTATAGATGATACTAGGCGTATGGGACAACTTCGAATACAAATTGATCATCTAACACAAGAGTTAGATGGATTGAAAAGACCTTTTAAAATTGAAGAGGAGATTAAGATTTTGCAAGATAAGATTTTGGAAATTGGGGGTGATAAACTTCGAGCTCAGAAGTCAAAAATAGATCAATGTTAAAGAACAACTTGTTTTAATAAATGAGCGAATTATCAAATCTCAGGTGGCCAAATTAAAGGCGGAAAAGGATAGGATTAAAATCGAAAATTTCTCTAGCAAAAAGTGAAGGAGAATTAGAAGGATTAAATAATGAAATAGAAAAGCTGCTTTCCAATAACTAAATAATTAGGAAAAATGTAAATAAGTATTATATATATATCTTTTAAAAAAAACAGATATAATTAAACAAAAGTCTGAATAAATACTGATATGGCTTCATCGGCTTTAATACGAATGGAATGCGAACCTTCGGTTTTCTGTTGAATTTCTTTCGTAAAAAAAGAAGAATTAGATGAGATCAAGGAAAATCTTGATGAAAAAACCGAAATAATTAATCGGATTCGAGCAATTGAGGTTTATAATTCTATTTCTTATTTTTCCTATAATTACGTCAAATCTTTTTTATAACCAATCACACTATGTATTGTATTAGTTAAAAATCAAAACCCAGGTAGAAGATAGTGAACGCAATTTGGTGGAAAATAAACAAAAAGAAATTCATTGGCGAGATTCTCTTAGCAAACTTACACTTCATGAGATTGGGTAAGCGTTCTGATGATATTTTTAAATATTTATTTTACCATTTATCTAATTGATTTATAAATAGAGGTGATGATAAGCAAGAATTTCAAATTTACACTAATGATGAGCTCAATGCAATGGATAAAGATAAAATACAAGGAGAGATCGATGATTTAAAGGTATTCTAATTTATCTTTTTTATATTCTATTTATTCTTTTATATATTTATATATATTTTTTTTTAAAAAAAATTTTTCCCCAGAGAAAATACAAAATGCCAATCCAAATCTAAGTGTTTTGGAAGATTATCGTATTCGTGAGAAAGAGTATTTGTCACGTGTTAGAGATTTTGAAGAGATTACTTCTAAGCGTGATGAGTGTAAAAAGGAATATGATCGTTAAAGAAAGCAACGGTTGGAAGAATAAGAATTCATGCATGGGTTCACTTTAATATCTCGGAAACTCAAAGAAATGTATCAGGTATCTAAACGACACTTTATTTCTCAACGTATGTTACATAAATATAAACAAGCATTTGTTTTTGTTTTAGATGATTACTCTTGGAGGAAATGCTGAACTTGAAGGCATTATTTTTAGTGTTATGTCGGCGAAAAAGAGTTGGAAAGATATTTCGAATATATCGTCGCATCCTTCTGGGAATACTCAAAAAAAAAATCATCGCAATTTGTCAAATGCGAGGACGATCATTCCCAAATCAAATGGTTTTTTTTTACTGCGTATTGGATTTTTAAAAATATCCTGGTTCTCAGTATGGATTAAAAAAGCGACTCCAATCGCAATACGCAGTAAAAACATCCTACGTCATAAAATTTACAAACTTCTTTATACAGCTGCTCCTAAAAGATTGTGACTTTCACTCACAAGACTTTAAGGTTCATATTGTAATTGCTCTGGAGATTTTTCTTGCATCATAAATTGAATAACTCAAAACTTCATTATTACAGGAGTGCCTCAAAGATTTTGGCATTAAATACCTTGACCCTCAGTACTATAATGTTCATTCTGAAATTGGCTCTGGAGGTTTTGCCTCGGTTCATGCTGCATGTTGGAAAGGTACTCCAACAACATATGCAATTAAAAAGTTTGCCAAAAGAACTACGGATGAAATGATTTTACACGAGGTTCGATATTATTGGTGTAGTTTATTTTTATATAGTACATAGTTATTGAAATTATTTTATTATTATAATGGGAATGATGAAATTGTTGGATTTTCATCCTAATATAATTAGATTATGCGGTATCACGAAATTGAAAGGTAAAATAATAATTTTTTAATTATTAATTTTATTTTTAGTATTTTATACGTATATTTTTTTTATTCCTTAGGTGAATCAAATTATTCGCTCGTTCTTGAATACGTAGATGGTGGAACGTTAGGAAAATATTTAAGGGACAACGCGTCGACTTTTAAATGGGAAAGTCAATTGAAATTCGCTAGTGAAATTGCAAG